AACGTGGCTGCGACATGTGACGCAACTCTTCCCCCTAACCCTCCCCACGTGAAGCAGCTTGTGTTTCCTTACCCACTCCATTCCGTCAATCGATGATTGGTGTCATTATTATCTTACCTTGTCCTCGTAAATCATGCTCATGCTCCTTATCTTTCATCTTCCTCGTAATCTTCATCTGTTAGGTGCTCTCTCTCTCTCTCTCTCTCTCTCTCTCTCTCTCTCTCTCTCTCTCTCTCTCTCTCTCTCTCTCTCTCTCGCTCATGCCTTCGTGCACGCCAAAAAGGAAGCATGACTGTCCAAACTGTTTCATCGGAGGTTGAACCCCGACAGTCTGCCCAAGATGCATTTGCGTGCAAGTGTGTGACGTCATGTTCGCTTTACACAACTCCATAAAAAAAGGTTCGACTATGTCCGACTGAACCAAGCACCGATTCCACGATGCACGTAGCACCGTTACACTTAGCACGAAGCACAGATCCCACTAACCAACCGCCAATGCTCGTAGCATCGAAAGCAAACAAAGCACGGAGTAGCCCGAAGTAACACAAATGCACCCAGTAGCACCAAGTAGCACGAAAGTGGCACCGATGCACGAACCAAACACGACCGAGTACGAAGTACCAAGCACTGAGAGAAAGAAAGGGAGAGGGAGAGAGAGAGGGGGGGGGAGAGAGAGGGAGAGGGAGATCCATAGAGAGAGACAGAGCGTACAGGTGGCAGGGCGTAGGCAGTTCGCATGGATCGTGTAGGCTGTAGGTAGGTCGCCTAGGTCGAGTAGGTCCCCTAGGTGGGCATAGGCAAGTCAGTAGCTCACGTAGGCAAGACTGTAGGGCACAAACTACCAAGAACGACGTACCAAGCACTAAGAGACAAAGAGGGAGAGGGAGAGAGCGCGCCAGAGAGAGAGAGAGAGAGAGAGAGAGAGAGAGAGAGAGAGAGAGAGAGAGAGAGAGAGAGAGAGAGACCGCTACGGTAGACAAGCCGTAGGTGAGGAGGGCGACGGGATGAACAGCGGGATAGCGGATGTGTGGTCAGTGGAATGGATGTGGGAGTAGTAAAGAAAGCGGAGACGGCGGGAGGAGATGGCGGGAGGGGACGGAGGCGGAGGTGAGTGGAGGCGAGCGGAGGCGAGCGGAAGTTCGCGGAGGTGTGCGCAGAGGTGGGCGGAGGCAAGCGGAGGTGAGCGAAGGTGGCAGGAGGTGGGTGGAGGTGGGCGGAGGGCAATCGGAGATTAGCAGAGGAGGTGAGTGGAGGTGGGTGGGAAAGAAAGCGGAGACGGCGGGAGGAGATGGTGGGAGGAGACAACAGGCGGAGGTGGGCGAAGGTCGACGGAGGTGGGAGGTGGTGGGCAAAGGCCAAGCAGAGTTTTGTGAAGGCTAGCAGAGGTGGGCGAAGGGTAAGTGGAGGTAGGCGGAGGGTGAGCGGAGGTGTGCGAAGGTGGCGGAGGTGGGCAGAGGTGCGCGGAAGTGGGCAGAGGTGGGCAAAGATGGGCAAAGGTGGGCGGAGGCCGTGGAGGTGGGAGGAGGTGGGAAAAGGTGGTCGGAGGCCGGGAAGTCGGACAGCCCTCGACCCAACAGGTCGTTCGACGTGAACAGGGCCATGGCGTCGCCCTGCAACGACCCTCTTGTCAACGTGCGTGCCGATTCAGGCCGCCCATGGCCCTACTGAGCCGACGGCCAAGATTTTCGCACGATCTTAAGACTTTAAGATCGCACGTCTATCCAGGTCGTCCGACAACGCAGACGGTCTGCATCGCCGCACGAGCTTAGTTTTAAAGTCTTAAGATCACGTGGAAATCAAAGTCGTCGGCCGGTAGGCCGCGGGCAGCCCGGATCAGCCAGATGTTGCGCGCCAAATAGCAATTTCTATGAGTGTAGGGATCGTCTTTGATCGGGACGTACAGTTCACTGGCCAAGAATAGCAAAAGTTGATGAACGCATACGACACCCAATTAACCATGTTATCAGGAAGACATCCAGAAACAAATGGACAAAGCGAATAGATGAGTCATCTTTGCCAACAACTTCTGCAAATGTATGTAAGGCCATATCAGATAGATTGCAATGAGAACTTGCCTAAGATTGCAAGTGCGTACAACAACAGTGTTCACACCGAAGCTGGCAGAACACCGAACGCACTTCACAAAGGATAGAAGCCACTACGTCCCATTGATGCTCTAACCCGATTCCGAGTCCAACGGCTACCCCCAGGAACACGAAAACTTGCACTTTAGTATGAAGAAGATATAAAGAAAGTCAAGGAAAGTATTCAGAAAGCCCAACTACGAATGATTGAACAGGCTAACAAACATCGTCGGTCATCAACATTCAGAGAAGGAGATCTTGTTTGGGTAAAGTCCAAAGAATTTACCTTAGAAGTAAATGTATCATAGAAGCTGCTACCTGTCTACTACGGAACCTGGGAAGTTCTCAAGGTGATAGGGGATATTGATGAACCATCATACAGAATAGATGTACCCCCACACCTCAAGACATACTCCTGTATTTCACCCATCTAAATTACTACCATATGCAGAAGGTCATGATTTTCCCAACAGGCCATCTATGTTTCCTCCTTCAATGGACGAGGGCTATGAAGTTGAGAAAATACTTTTCTATAGGGGGCAGACCAAGACCACAAAAGCAGTTCAAGGTGAAGTTTAAGTCTCAACCCCCATTTGAAAGTCGGTGGTTAGCAAGAAAGAGCTTTTACCTATTACTCCTCATATAGTCTATGCATACAAGTGTGGTTTGAAAGAAAACAAAGTCTAAAGAATTTTTGCGATGGAACTTGAATATTGGGCCGGCAGGAATGTGCGAGGCCACTGCCTCTATCAGCCCCATTCAGCCCCCATTTTGGAGCCAGTCGGCCGCCCCAAGTGAAGGCAGGCTCGACGAGGCCCTCAGGGCCCTACTTTGGCCACTGCGCAACTAAGGAAATTCAGGCAGTTGCACAACGTCAGTTGGTTGAAAGAATTCAGGCCTTGGGCTGCATTTGTGAATGTACGGAAAGCAGGCCCTGGGCCGGGTACGGGTACTGGGCCAAAGACATGACAAAGGCAGTTGGGCACATGCAAACAGCTCAGGCCCTAGGCCTGATCTCGATTGTGTTGGGCCTCAGGCTACCGGGGCCTACTGGAAGCTTCCTGGGATTGGACACAGGCAGGCCACTTCGATACAGCGAAGGGCGTGCCTCCGCATTCCTTATTCGGGTGCTGGCTGCATGCTGCGCTATTTGTTGGCTGGCGCCTACGCGCTCACGGGCGAGCAGGGAAGGAGCAGGCAGCCATAGTCGAGCTGCGCTGCTGTAAGATGGGTGTGGCGCAGGGTGGTCCTTGGGTGCAAGTGGCATCTGTGTGTTGGGGAACGAGGTTGCGAGTACGGCGAGAGACATACCGTGTGCTGGAAGCGTGCGACATTGGTCGCTGTATGCTCGTACTTCAGTGGAGTTGTTGTCATCAACTTCGACATATAGGCTAGATAGGATCTGCCACAAGTAGTCTGGGCGCCGAGCGCCAGATAGGATATCAACTCTGGTTCTTCGATGATGATGATGATGGGTCTATTTCAGCATTGTCAATTATGAACTTTTGGTGTGTTCTTATTTGGTGAATCTCGTGATGCAATTCTGTTGTTGGTTCGAGGCCAAGACTATATGGACTCGTATGTATGATGCAGTTTGATTGCTGAAGTTCGCTATTGCTCATCTTCCTTGCAATTTGTGGTACGATTGCGCTCATCTGGCGCTTGTCTTCTGCCTTATGCGGTACATACATGCGGTTTGCTTGGCGAGTTTGGCCGTAAGTGGTGTGTAGTGAGGAGGGCGGAGGCGAGTGATAGGCGACCCAGGAGAAGAGGGGTTCGCCAGGAAGGCTACGAGATGTGTAATGTGGTCTGGACAGTGTGATGAGAACTATCTAATGTGTGATTGGTGTTGAGGTGGAACGGCGTGTAATGCTGGTTGCGCCGAAGCAATAACTGGTCATCACAATCGGCATCTGGTCATCTGGTGAGATTATCTCTATGGTTGGGGGCAGTTATTTGAGGTACGTTGCTCTTAACCTTATCTACCATCTACGACACTTCTTACCGTGAGGTTGTGTGTTCCTTCTTGAGAGTCCTCTCATTGTGAGGTGTCGAGTGTGCTCAACCTTGAGAGTCGACAATGTTCACGTGGAGCATCTGGGAGAAGATGGGCGGAGCTTTCCAAAGGGCCCTGGACGAAGCACTGGGTCATGGTCACCATGCCAACCCACCGCGAGTAGATCACGCATGCTTTGCTGCTTGTCCTTTGTTCGGCTTGCTGCGTTGTTAGATGGGTACTGAAGGGCAGGCCAGCCCTTAAGGGAGACGAGACCGGGCGTCTTTAAAGAAGCACCGAAAGGGGAATCATTGGGTGTGATCGTCGTCCCGCTGCGACGTAAAAGAATTCCTGGAGTCACTTGGGGGCGGACGTTAAACTGCCTTCGGATCAGCCAATGGTGGTAATGCTCTCTGCAGGTGAGGATAATCCAGTGCAGGGCTGGCCAGCTCAGCAGATACTCGGGGCATAGGGGTGGGCCGGACACACACCTTTAGACACGCGATGCTCTCCAGATTGCTCAGGGACGCTGACGTCAAGTGATACTTAAGTGCAGCGAAGTTGCCTCTACCAAGAAAATTCGGGAACGCATTTAACTTTTTTGTCTGTGTGCCGGACCAGGGGAACTAAGGGAGAGGTAAATTCCAGGTGACAAATTCGAGAAAATTTCATGTTGTCCTATCCACACAAATGATTCTATTTTTATGTTTTGACTAGTTAGGTGTACAACCATTGACATCTGACAGGCAACATTAGTTAGAACTGTTTCTTGTTCTTGGTGCTTCTGTTTGCGGACTAGTCAAACTAAAAATAGTTTTATTTGTAGGCATCTGACATTTGACTTACCTGTTGGGCCCGAACGTAAACTCTCCGAAATAGCCACCAGTTAATTGGTCTGCACACTACGCTGCGGTAGGCATTTAGAGTGCACTTGTGCAGATTGTGTACAGGGTTGTAGCTTATGAGCAACGAGGAGGACACTGAAGAGGGCGACCGAAGGATCTTGTGATCGGCTAGACGCCCAATTGCCCACTTGGCATTAGGACTAGAGGGCGACAGGTATCTGTTACGCCTGCTTAGGGAGAGGCAGCAGCAACAGAGGAGGGCTAGAGCAGCAGAGGCTAGCAGGGCACTTGTGAGTGAGGCTGCAGCTTCGAAAGCCATGGCCACTTCTGCGCAGCAGATTACTCAGGCCGGTAGTTCAGGGTCTATCGGGTCAACAGTCACGCAAACCCAGAGTCAGTCCACTAGCGTAATGGCAAGCCAGGCACTAGTGTTGACGTCCGATGAGATCGCCATACAAAAAGCAGCATTGCAGGAGGCACAACTACAAAAGGCACTAGGGGATATAAAAGCGGAGAAAGAAGGAATGATTAGAAGAAGAGCACAGATGCAACGGAGACAAGCAGACGTTAGCGAGTTAGAGGAGATGGACCTGACGCTCGTGACTGACGAGGTGAGGATCGTACGGCCCGTCCTGCTGAATGTAGTTGAGATGCAGGACCATCAAACAGCCATCCTTCAGGACATCCAGCAAAGTCTCGCCCCGTTGGTTGGGCAAGCGCAGGCTACGTCGCCAATGTCCGGGCCTCGTGCCTGGCCTGTTGTACAGCATCCTCCTTTACTCCCACCGATGACTGGGGTATCCCCATATGTAGTCCCATCATCCGTTGCGATCGTTTCCCTGGGCACGCCGCTATCAGGAGGGATCACAGCAGGATCTAGTATGCAGGTTCCGGTTCAGACAGTGTTCACCCAATCTCCGTTGCAAGTTGCGATCACCACGCAGCCTGCAGTCTCGCCACATGTACAGCGGCAGGGTACACAGCCCCGGCAGTTGGCACAACAACCTGTGTCACAGGGTCCATAGCCCGGAGTGATGCAGGGACCGGGACAAACACAGTGGGTTCCAAAGACGGCCATCGCCGGCCCGAAACCCTTCACAGGGGATAAGAGATGTGAAGACCTTGACACGTGGTTGAGGGCAGTGCCAGTCTATGGCAAGTGTAAACTTACCTTGCCGCACAAAGAAGTGCTTGTGGCTGCCTCCTACCTAGAGGGTAGTGCAGCAAGACGGTTGAGTGGTTTAGTGCAGCTCCAGGGGTATGGTCATGACTTCCGCGCTTGGGCGGTCACACAAAATTGTATGACTTCCTTAAGCTGGTGGAGGAAAGGTGGCATAATCCTCAGTAGGCCCAACAGGCCACTGACGCGATCCTGACACTGCACACGCGGCAGTTTTAGTAAGGGAAGGCACCGACGTTGTTGAGCGTCTGATCTGTGTCCCTCGGGTGCGCTATGACCCCCAGGTTTTACTCACCTCATACCTGAGATGCTTCTCTTTGCCTCTCAGGAACCAGTTGGCAGGTGAGGACAACATCAATATGCATCACTTTCCTTCGTTTAGCAAGAAGGCCCTACACCTTGAAGCGAAGATAGGGCATGGACAGGCACCCACTACGGACGGTAGGAGGAAGACACTGCCTCCTAACTGGAAGGCGAAGGGGCGCATCATGTTTGTCGATAACGATGGTTCAACCATCGAATTAGACAAACACTTTCAAGAAGGAGTAGGATCAGAGGCTGGCAGCGCAGAAGCTTCAGAGGGTGGAGTAGTCGTTGCCGTAACACAAAAAGCTAAGGCGACCGGTAGACGGCGTGGAGGTTCCCAGTCTAGGAGTCAAGTTGACCCCAATGCTCCTCCATGGGAGAAAGCGGGTCTCGCAGAGGACGTGTGGAGATATCGGTACACACAGCAGGCTTGCAATCATTGTCGCCAATATGGCCATAATCAATTTAAGTGTCGTAACAAGAAGGTGACCGACAAGATCCCGCCTACGATGGGGCAGGCGATACGATCCTCACATCCCGTTGGTAGCAACGTGGCCAGCACTTCAGGCACTGCTCCGGGAAACACGTCGGGCCAATAGGAATAATAGTTGTTCCTACTAGGGTCGAGGTGGTGGAGACACCCTCACCATCTCGAGAGATGGCCCAAGCTACTAACTCCACCGTCGTCCTGCAAACACGTTCAAACCCATCGAGCCTCTGTTCGATGAATGTGTTCGAGTCCTTAGAGGAGCTAGAGGAGTGGTCTAGATTGGACCCCCTAGCTTCTTGGACGGCCCTAGTCAAAACCCCGAAGGGTGAGATGTTCGTCAGCGAGATAGTCATTGGCGGTCGCAAGGCCGAGGCCTATGATGACACTTGCTCGACAAGGAACTTCATTAGTCGCGCGTGCGTTGAGAGGCTGCGTTTACAGGGGCGAGTGCAGCGCCTGAGTCGACAGGTGGAGTCGACTTGTGTCAACAAACAGCGCATCGTACTCAATGACTACCTCCAAGATGTAGAGTGTTGTTTCCCGTACGCGGGAGGGGAATTGAGACATCGCGTCTCGTTCCTAGTGAGCGATGAACTCCCCATGGACATGTTGTTAGGTATGTACTACCTCTCTATGGCACAACCCCAATTTGACTGGGACCGAAAAGTGGTCAAACAGACTTTGCCAGGTGGAGGGACCGCCAGATTGCACAAGTTCAAAACTAGTAGTCTGATCGAGTCCCATGGGTGCATGTGTGCGGCCGCGCTCTACAATTACTATAAGCAAAATCAGGAGGGTACGTATCTAGTTTATGTCTCTGCTGCAGGCGAGCCGGTGAAAATGCCGCGAGAGATAGGGGGAGTAGTTGCCAAGTACCCTGATCTATTTGAACGGCCGACAGGGGTTGTAGAGAGGGAGGTCGTCCACGGGATAGAGATTATCCGCGGGTCTAGCATTCCGAAGGGCAGGATCTATCGGATGTCTCCAGGCGAGCTCGATGAGCTTCGCGAACAACTCAAGGAACTCGTAGAGAAGGGTTGGATCCAGCCGAGTGTCTCTCCTTATGGATCTCCGATACTATTCGTACCTAAGAAGGAGGGTACACTGAGGATGTGAATTGACTATAGGGGCCTCAATGCCATCATTGTTAAGAATAGAGAGCCCCTACCACGCATCGACGATCTGCTTGATAGAGTGCAAGGGTGTCGGTACTTCAGTAAGATAGATATGAAGTCCGGGTACCATCAGATTGCAATCCAGCTCGAGGATCGACACAAAACCGCCTTTCAGACCAGGTACGGTCTATACGAGTTTGTGGTGGTGCCTTTCGGCCTTTGCAATGCTCCTGGCACCTTTCAGCTCCGCTATGAATTGGATTTTCCATGACTACTTGGATAAGTTTGTCATCGTGTACCTCGAGGACATACTTATTTTTAGTAAGACTGTCGAGGAGCACGTTGCACATCTGGACAAAGTCCTCAATCTCCTGCGACAGCACAAGTTCAAGATTAACGGTGAGAAGTGCGAGTTTGGTCGCACCCGTGTCTTGTACTTGGGTCATGAGATTTCCGCGGAAGGGTTGAAGCCAGATGACGCGAAGGTGGCCAGCATTCGTGACTGGCCGCGTCCTCAGTCTGTGACTGAGATGAGATCATTCTTAGGGATGACCGGCAACTATCGCAACTTCGTGGAGAACTATACCATAATTGCCGCCCCTTTGACTGATCTGACCCGCCTTGACACCCCATGGGAGTGGACTGAGAGATGTGAGGCTGCTTTCAGACATCTGAAGCATGCGTTGACGCATTACGAAGTCTTGAAACTTCCTGATCCTGACAAGCCCTTTATAGTGACTACGGATGCTAGCCAATATGGCATAGGCGCCGTGCTTGCACAACAGGAGGGGAAACAGTTGAGGCCTGTCGAGTACATGTCCAAAAAGATGCCCTCTCAAAAGTTGGCAAAATCCACCTATGAGAAGAAACTCTATGCGGTGTACAAGACTCTGACCCATTGGAGACACTATCTCCTTGGGAGGTTCTTCATCCTCAGGACTGATCATCACACCCTGAGATTGATGAGAACTTAGTCGGTACTCTCTGACGCTCTCAAGCGTTGGATCGAAGTCATAGAGCAGTATGACTTCGAGCCCCAGTACATCAAGGGCGAGTACAACAAGGTTGCTGATGCCTTGTCGCGTAGACCAGATTTCTTTGGTGCGCAGATTTCTTTGGTGCGCTGATCACTAAGTTTGGGCTTGCGAACAATGTAACTCAATCCATGGTGGTAGCCTATCGCGAGGACCCATTCATGTCTGAGATCATCCGCAGACTCGAGGCGAAGGACAAGGTAACTTCTTCTGAGTTTGAGTTGGTCAACGGCTTACTGTTCCTTGAGAAGCCTGGGAATAAACGATTGTGTGTTCCGAGCAGGGAATCTTTGCGTAGTTTATTTTTAGGAGAGTGTCATGATGCCACCAGACATTTTGGCTTTAAGAAGACTGCAGCTAATCTGTTGCGGCGGTTCAGGTGGCCCACAATGATGAGAGACGGTAAGTTGTACGTGGAGACTTGTCAGGTCGGTCAAAGAGACAAGCCGCGTACTCAGGCTCCTCTTGGGCTCCTGAAGCCCCTTCCGATTTCGAAAAGGCCTGGTGAGAGCCTGTCCATGGACTTCATGGATACGCTGGTCACCAACAAGAGTGGAATGCGCTACGTCTACGTCATTGTGGATAGGTTTAGTAAGTTTGCTAGATTAGTTCCAATGCCTGAGACAGCGATGACTGAGCATGTAATTAAGCTGTTCAAAGAGAACTGGGTTAGGGATTTTGGATTGCCAAAGTCTATTGTAAGTGACCGTGATGTGCAATTCACAAGTGAATTGTGGAAAGCCACAGCTGCAGAACAGGGAATGAAGTTGCAGATGACATCAGGAAACCATCCCGAGGCGAATGGACAAGCATAATAGTTGAACTACCCTGTACAACACTTGTTGAGGCATATTATACTAAGCCAAATCAGGTAGACTGGGATGAGAAACTTGCTCTCATCGCCAGCCTGTACAATAACTCGGTCCACAGTGCAACGGGCGTGAGCCCGAATAGTCTACTACTAACTTTCAAGCCTAGACTGCCCTTGGACTTCCTACTACCTGACCACCAGACCTCTGCTGCACCAGGAGTTTGCTTATCGATATAAGCAGCTGATGCAGAAGGCTGTTGGGCATGCACAAGGCGCAGGCGGCGATGATAGAGTCTGAGAACAAACACCACCACCCATCCACGTTTCAGGTAGGAGAGAGAGTCTGGGTCAAGTCCTCAGAACTGGGACAGGAGCACAGGATCTCCCGTAAGCTCATGCCACAGTACTTTGGACCATGGGAAATTTTGGATGTTGTCGGGGGTGAGCCAGATGGGTTGTCTTATGTTATTCGCATCCCTGGTCACCTACGCACTTACCCTGTTTTTCACGCCTCCAAACTTGCACCTTTTGAAGAAACATATCAGTTTCCCTCTCGTCGCTCAATGCTGCCCCCAACCATGGGTGCAGAAGTGGATATCGATGATATCTTGGACCACAGGGAGCTGCCAGCGCCAAGAACAGCAGGCAGGGGACGTCCTCCGAAACCAAAGCTGCAGTACCTCGTTCGGTTCCGGCATCACACTGATCCGAAGGAGGACCGCTGGTTCACTAGGGAGGAACTCATGCAGACCGCTCCGCAGGTTGTAACCCACTACGAGGGATCTCTGCAGAAGGGAAACGCCCTATGGTTGAAGATTGAGCTTCTAAGAGGACTGTTGAAGCTAAGGAGGACGGAATGTGAGGCCACTGGCTCTATGAGCCCCATTCAGCCCCCATTTTGGAGCCAGTCGGCCGCCCTAAGTGAAGGCAGGCTCGACGAGGCCCTCAGGGCCCTACTTTGGCCATTGCGCAACTAAGGAAATTCAGGCAGTTGCGCAGCGTCATTTGGTTGAAAGAATCCAGGCCCTGGGCTGCATGTGTGAATGTATGGAAAGCAGGCCCTAGGCTGGGTACGGGTATTGGGCCAAAGACATGACAAAGGCAGTTGGGCACATGCAACCACCTCAGGCCCCAGGCCTGATCTCGATTGTGCTGGGCTTCAGGCTACCGGGGTCTACTGAAAGCTTCCTGGGACTGGACACAGGCAGGCCATTTCGATATAGCAAAGGGCCTGCCTCCACATTCCTCATTCGGGTGCTGGCTGCATGCTGAGCAAGCGCTGCTGCGCTATTTGCTGGCTGGCTCCTACGCGCTCACGGGCGAGCAGGGAAGGAGCAGGCAGCCATAGCCAAGCTGCGCTGCTGTAAGCTGGGTGTGGCGCAGGGTGGTCCTTGGGTGCAAGTGGCATCTGTGTGTTGGGGAACGAGGTTGTGAGTAAGCCGAGAGACATACCTGGTGCTGGAAGCGTGCAACATTGGTCGCTGTATGCTCGTACTTCAGGGGAGCTGTTGTCATCAACTTCGGCATTGTAGTATAGGCTAGATAGGATCAATCACAAGTAGTCTGGGCGCCGAGCGCCAGATAGGATATCAACACTGGTTCTTCGTTGATGATGATGATGGGTCTATTTCAGCATTGTCAATTATGAACTCTTGGTGTGTTCTTATTCAGTGAATCTCATGATGCAATTCTGTTGTTGGTTCGAGGTCAAGACTATCTGGACTCATATGTATGATGCTGTTTGATTGCTGAAGTTCGCAATTGCTCATCTTCCTTGCAAATGTAATAACCTGCTCAAATATGTCTATGTCGTCGGCCAAAGGGGGCAACAGCAGGCCTCAAGTTGGCCCTCAGGCCCTGCGTCAGACCGCATGGAACAAAACCCCTGAAATGTGGCTTTAGAGGCCCTGCGCCCGACAGTTGACAGGTCAACTGTATGTCCGAATATTGAGGCTCACGAGTTAAAGTCGTCACGGACCCAGTCCAGGCCACCGATCAAACACACACACTTGGTTGTGCACAGGTATCCAGGCAGCATTCGGTCCAAGTGGAAGTCTGCAACTGTACGAGATCCAGCCCGTCAGCTGTGAGTCAATCTGAGCCTCCATAGGTGAGAGATCAGAGGCTGGTCAACATCGACAACACTATTTAATGACCTGGCCCCTGGGAGTCAGCATTCAGTCTTGCCTTGCTGACTTGACGCTGGCCCAACGGTGGCTCTATTCTGGCATTGTGCGACAATGATGCGAGACTGCTGCTTTGTGCGCTGGCGCCTCTCTGCTTCTGGCCCCAGCTGTCTTCTTCGATGCTGACGTGGCACTTGCCACACTGTCTTTAGCATTGCTGACATGGCGCGTGTCACATCCTCTAGACACAGATTGGGATGCGACAAGGAGGGTGATCAGGATCTGTGGGATTGATCGAGTGAGAGTGGGGAAACTTACCTGTTGTTGCAGTCGACATTGTGCGCTGCAGAGACATCGTCATGGGAGAATAGTGCCTACTATGATGTGATCAGATCTCATCAAGCTCATTTCTGGGACACTTTCCTGACGTGGATGTGGGGGTGATGCCTGAAGGAGTGGGAAATGAGGGTGTTCTGTCTACGTGGACATCAATGGATACATTCTCTTCCACCCACTAAGTCTAATCTCCCTCCTACCTCCTTCGTCCTATGGTTACGAGACCTTGTATCACAGATTACATTTCACGATTATTGGCGACATTTATCAGCGCTGAGTCATCTTGTATTTCAACACTTGACGAGTTTCCTCCGGACTGGGTTCATTACACTAGAGAAAACTTTGCTGAGTGCCAGATGATTTAGTGAGTAGAAGATAAGGTGTGCCTAGGTCTAAATTGGGTCAGGCCTAACCAGGCAGTGATAGGCATCAGGCCGAAGAGTGATAGGCCAATGCCATGCACCCTTCCACCCCACCTTGTCACAACCAATACCCCGACCATCAGTTGCTCCTCACCTGACTTCCTGCTACTATAGTGAAACAATTGACTGTTGAATATTGAAAATGATATAGCAATTTTAAAACAGGACCCTGAACCTACCACCATCAGTCAATTTTCTACCTAATATTTCCATCTTACTATTCATACCCATACACGACTGTCCAGTAACCAGTAGTTGAAGCCTCTTCAGGGGTCTGTACCCTGAACCTACCACCATCAGTCAAACCTAATATTTCCATCTTACGATTCTGACCCATACAAGACAGTCCAGTGGACTGTGGTTGAAGCCTCTCCAGGGGTCTGTACTCGTGTTTCTAGCCACACTGTAAAACAGTAGCTGACTGGCAATAGGAGAGTAGTGACTCTGGGTCAAGGCCCAAATCAATGGCTCAAGAAAAGCTAGCTAGAATATTGAGACCTGTGTCTAGATCTACAAGGACATCTCCAAGATTTGGACTTAAACCACCAGTACCAGACGGACAATTCTCTCCTAAAGTAAATGTAATCATTATGCATCCAACCCAACCGCAGGCAGGCCAGTATATTGGAAGCGCAGCCTCCACATATACAGGCCCAAACTTCCTAGTAAGGGTCCTCGTAGTGATGGTTTAAGTCGGCAACACCAGGTTCAGAATAGGGTGCACGACCAGATATAGCCTGGGAGACCGACTTCGGGATGGGAAGCCTATTTTCCCATAGGATTGTTTATGTGACACTCTGCAGTTTGGGAAAGCGCCTCAAGACTCTGCCAGTGGCTGCCACCTATACTACGAGGAAGCACCAGGTCATTCATTTTCCAATTTTAGAGGACCACCACACTGCTTTAGTCTTCCATTCACTCTAGCTTGCGGTGCTGGCTGTGAGGCAGTGCTACTGTCTTCAAGAAGCATCAGAGAAACATCAACAAGCAATGTACATCCAGATGCATACAAAAAATAGCACAATGTAGAGCAGCGGAAGACTCAAAGATATGACCTGACCTGTCAGATACTGATGCGACTCAACCCATCAGGCTACGTGACACCCGCGAGCAATTCGGCCGCCGCAGCCAGAGCAGTCGGCCGCGGCCACAGCCAGGAGGCCTAGTTTGCAGCCAATCTTTTGGATATTTTTTTGGGGGTAAAAACATACATGAAAAAAATATATATATATAGATATATATATACAGGGTTGCCGGCATTCGGGACGGGCTGAACGCCCGAACGTTCGCCACCCCCTCTCGACGCGTTCGACCGAACCCGGACCCAAAAAATAAAAAAAACGAATTCCAAAAAATCTGAAAAAAAAATATATGTTATGCAGAATAATAAACTAAACAACATTTGCCTCAACGTTACATCCACATTCTTTACCAAATTTGAAATAAAAATCAAATACTAAAAATAAATAATAATAATGAAAATTGAAAAAAATAAAACGAGAACGAAATTATTGAGTGTGGAGCACGTTTTTGACACCGCCATCTTTGGCGATTTTTCATTTTTTCTTGGCTGTGAAAAATGCCGTGAAAATTTATGTATGTGTATCTTACATAATAGAGAATCTACAAATAGAGTCTGAAAAAATAATAATTTGTTTCATGCCCCAAAATAAAGGAAAAACAAAAAGTGAAAAGAGAGAAAAAACAAATTTGCAAGGAAGATGAGCAATAGCGAACTTCAGCAATCAAACAGCATCATACACATAAGACCAGATAGTTGTGACCTCGAACCAATAGCAGAATTGCATCACGAGTTTCACCAAATAAGAGCACACCAAAAGCTCATAATTGACAATGCTGGAATAGTCTCATCATCATCATCAACGAAGAATCAATGTGACCTAGACTACAATGCCGAATACGACAACAGCTCTCCCGAAGTACGACCAGATAGCGGCCAATGCCGCATGCTTCCAGCACCAGGTATGTCTCTCGCATCACTCACAACCTGTCTCTTATACACATCTAGATGTGTATAAGAGACAGACCCTGCGCCACACCCAGCTCACAGCAGCGCAGCTCGGCTATGGCTGCCTGCTCCTTCCAGCTCGCCCGTGAGCGTGTGAGCGCTGGTCAGCTTCAGCGCAGCAGCGCTTGCGCAGCATGCAGCCAGCACCCGAATGTCCAATACGGAGGCAGGCCCTTTACTATATGGAAGTCGCCTGCCTGCGTTTGTCCCAGGCTGTGCTGGGCCTTTCCCAAGAAGCTTCCGGTAGGCCCCGGTAGGCTGAGGCCCAGTCCGAACAACTCAGGCCCTGGGCCCGTGGTGGTTGCGTGCGCCCAACTGTCATCAGCCTGTGCTGGCCCACATCCCGTATCCAGCCCAGGGGCTGCCTTTGATTCATGCAAACAGGGGACCCAGGGCCTAGGTTCTCTCAACCAACCGGCGCTGCGCAACTGCCTGAATTTCCTTAGTTGCGTGGTGGCCAAAATTCAGGGCCCTCAGGCCCTCGTCGAGCCTGCCTTCACTTAGGGCGGCCGACGTGCTGCTTGGCAGGGCCTGAAAGGGGCACATCAGGGCTTTAGCCTCGCATTCTGTCCTCCATAACTTCGGTAGTCCTCTGAGAAGTTCAATCTTCAATGATCTGGCGCTTTCCCTTCTGCAGAGCTTTTTCGTATTGAGCTACGACTTGAGGAGCGGTCTGCATGAGTTCCTCCCTGGTGAACCAGGGGTCCTCCTTTGGATCAATATGATGCCAGAACCGAACGCGGTACTGCAGCTTCGGTTTCGGAGGATGTCCCCTGCCTGTTGGTCTTGGAACTGGCAGCTCCCTCTGGGCCACGAAGTCATCAATATCCACTTCTCCGTCCATGGTTGGGGGCAGCATCGAGCGTCGAGAAGGAAACTCGTCTGTTTCCTTGAAAGGTGCAAGTTTGGAGGCGTGAAAGACGGGATAGGTGCGGAGATGACCAGGGATCCTGATTACATAAGACGGCCCATCCGGATCAGTCCCGACAATGTCTAAGACCCCCCATGGCCCAAAGTACTGAGACATGAGCTTGCGGGAAATCTCGTGCTCCTGTCCCAGTTCTGAGGACTTAACCCAGACTTTGTCCCCAACCTGAAATGTAGACGGGCGACGATGTTTTTTCTCAGATTCTGTCATTGCCGCCTGAGCCTTCTGCATTTGTTCCACTGCCTGCTGCATCTTCTGCTGATATCGGTATGCAAATTCTAAAGTATCGGGTGCAGCAGTTGACTGATTTTCAGGTAGTAAGAAGTCTAGAGGCAGTCTGGGTTTGAAGGTCAGTAGCAGACTGTTAGGGTTCACTCCGGTGGCGCTGTGCACAGCATTGTTATACAGACTCGCGATGAGAGCAAGCTTCTCGTCCCAGTCGACCTGGTTGGGCTTGATGTAATGCCGCAACAGGTGTTGGACAGCGCGATTCAATTGTTCGGCCTGGCCATTGGCCTCGGGGTGATTACCCGAAGTCATCTCCGGCTGCGTTCCCTGTTCGGAAGCAGCAGCCTTCCACAACTCGCTTGTAAATCTGACATCCCTGTCACTCACGATTGACTTGGGTAGACCAAAATCTCTTACCCAGTTCTCTTTGAACAGTCTGATAACGTACTCGGGTTTTTCTGTCTCCGACATGGTTATCAACCTAGCATACTTACTAAATCTGTCCACGATGACAAAGATATGTCTCATCCCGCTCTTGCTAGTGACCAGCGTATCCATGAAGTCCATGGACAAACTCTCACCAGGTCTTTCCGGAATCGGGAGGGGCTTCAGGAGTCCAAGAGGAGCCTGAGTACGTGGCTTGTTTCTCTAACAGACCTGACACGTCTCCATGTGCAGCTGGGCATCTCGCATCATCGTGGGCCACCAGAACCGCTGCAGCAGATTGGCTGCTGTCTTTTTATAGCCAAAATGGCCGGTGGCATCATGACACTCACCTAAAAATAAACTGCGCAAAGACTCCCTATTTGGGACAAACAATGGTTTATTCCCTGCCTTCTCGAGGAACAACAAACCGTTGACCAACTCAAACTCGGCAGAAGTCTTCTCATCCTTCGCCTCAAGTCTGCATATAATCTCAGACATGAACTGGTCCTCGTGATATGCTTGCACCAAAGAGCAAGTAACATCGTCCGTCGAACTCAATAATCAGCGCACATGAGAAATCAGGTCTAAGCGACAGCGCATCAGCAGCCTTGTTGTACTCGCCCTTGATGTACTAGGGCTTGAAGTCATAGTGCTCTATGACTTCAATCCAACGCTTCAGAGCGTCGGAGAGCACAGGTTGGGCTCTCGTCCACTTAGGGTCTGATGATCAGTCGTGACGTAGAAGAACCTCCCAAGGAGATAATGCCTCCAATGGGTGAGCACCTTATAGATCCCATAAAGCTCCTTCTCATAGGTGGACTTAGCTAACTTCTGACAGGGCATCTTTTCGGGCATGTACTCTACTGGCCTCAACTTTTCCCCCTCTTGTTGTGCAAGTACGGCGCCTATGCCATACTGGCTACCATCCGTAGTTACTATAAATGGCTTGTCAGGATCACGAAGTTTCAAGACCTCATGATGCACCAACGCATGCTTTAGATCTTTGAAAGCAGCCTCGCATCTCTGTCCACTCCCATGGGGTGTCAAGGCGAGTTAGGTCAGTCAAAGGGGCGGCAACTACGCTATAGTTCTTCACGAAGTTGCGATAGTAGTCGGTCATCACTAAGAAAGACCTCATCCCAGTCTCAGGCTGGGTTCTCATCCACTTCAAGGTCTGATGATCAGTCCTGACGTAGAAGAACCTCCCAAGAGATAGTGCCTCCAATGGGTGAGCGCCTTGTAGATTGCATAGAGCTCCTTCTCATAGGTGGACTTAGCTAACTTCTGAGAGGACATCTTTTTGGACATGTACTCTACCGGCCTCAACTTTTTCCACTTCTGTTGTGCAAGTACAGCGCCTATGCCATATTGGCTAGCATCCGTAGTTACTATAAATCGCTTGTTAGGATCAAGAAGTTTCAAGAGCTCATGATGCGTCAACGCATGCTTCAGATGTCTGAAAGCAGCCTCGCATCTGTCTGTCCACTCCCATGGGGTGTGAAGGCGAGTCAGGTCAGTCAAAGGGGCGGCAACTACTATAGTTCTTCACGAAGTTGCGATAGTAGCCGGTCATCCCTAAGAAAGACCTCATCTCAGTCACAGACTGAGGACGCGGCCAGTCACGAATGCTGCCCACCTTCGCGTCATCGGGCTTTAATCCCTCCGCGGAAATCTCATGACCCAAGTACAAAACACAGGTGCGGCCAAACTTACACTTCTCACCGATGATCTTGAACTTGTGTTGTCGCAGAAGACTAAGCACTTTGTCCAAGTGCGCAACGTGCTCCTCGACAGTCTTACTAAAAATCAGTATCTCATCGAGGTACACGATGACAAACTTATTCGAGTAGTAATGAAATATCCGATTCAGTGCTTTGGTTCCGTTGATTTCAGGTTGGGGAAACTTTCGGAATGCTCTGCAATCTTTCACCGTATGGATTTTCGGATATTTCAACAACTTCGTGCATGGGTCTTTCGTAGACACCCTACCTGGGGGCGACAAAGAATCAAGCATAAGTACTTCCCTGAAAATCAAACTTGGCTTGGTTTTCCCGGTAAGAAATACCGAGACAATTGAGGTTTGTATGACTCTTACATGTCCAAGGCCACGAAGTGGCAGCGGCACCAGTTCAATCTCATTCGATTGAGTTGGATCAAAAAGAGTTGCAAACACGAAGTGGTTCGCTCCACCAAGAGTCCATTCGATGGTGACCTAATTTACTGGAGTCTTAGGTTACAAAAACATTTGAATTAAATCCATACCATAGCGTGCTGAAAGGTGCCCGAAGCATTGCAAAGGCCGAAAGGCATCACCACAAACTCGTACGGACTGTACCTGGTCTGAAAAGCGGTTTTGTGTTGATCCTCGGGCCGGATTACAATCTGATGGTACCCCGACTTCAGATCTATCTTACTGAAGTACCGACACACTTGCACTCTATCTAGCAAGTCATTGATGCGCGATAGGGGCTCTCTGTTCTTGACAATGATGGCATTGAGGCCCCTGTAGTCAATGCACATCCTAACTGTTTCTTCCTTCTTCTTGGGTATAAATAGGACAGGAGACCCATAAGGGGATCCAACCCTTTTCTAGGAGTTCCTTGTGTTGCCGGCGAAGCTCATCAAGCTCACCTGGAAACATCCGATAGATCCTTCCCTTTGGAATGCTAGACCCTGGGATAATCTCTATCGCGTGGACGACCTCCCTGTCAACAACCCCTGTCGGCTCTTCAAATAGATCAGGGTATTTAGCAACTACTCCCTCTATCTCCGACGGCATTTTCACCGGCTCCCCTGCAGCAAAGACATAAACTACATACATACCCTCCTCCTGATTTTGCTTATAGTAATTATAGAACGCAGCCGCACACATGCACCCATAGGACTCGATCAGACTACTAGCTTTGAACTTACGTAATCTGGCGGTCCCTCCACCTGACAAAATGTGTTTGGCCACTTTTCGGTCCCAGTCAAACTGGGGCTGTTCTACAAAGAGGTAGTACATACCTAACAAGATATCCATGGGGAGTTCATCGCTCACTAGGAACGAAACACGGTATCTCAGTTCCACTCCCGCGTACGGGAAACAACACTCAACATCCTGGAGGTAGTCGTTGACTACCATGCGTTGTTTGTTGGCACAGGTCGACTCCACAGGTCGACTCAGGCGCCGCACTTGCCCCTGTAAGCGCAGCCTCTCAACGCACGCGCGACTAATGAAGTTCCGTGTCGAGCAAGTGGTATAATAGGCCCTTGCCTTGCAGCCGCCAATGACCACCTCGCTGACGAACATCTCACCCTTAGGGGCTTCGACCAATGTCGTCCAAGAAGCTAGTGGGTCTGATCTAGACCACTCTTCCTCTAACTCCTTTAAGGACTCGAACACATTCATCGAACAGAGGGTCGATGGGTCTGAACGTGTTTGCGGGACGACGATGGAGTCAGTAGCTTGGGCCATCTCTCGAGATGGTGAGGGTGTGTCCACCACCTCGACCCTAGCAGGAACATCTACTATTCCTACAGGCCCGACGTGTTTCCCGGAGCAGTGCCAAAAGTGCTAGCCACATTGCTACCAATGGGAGTGGAGGATCCCAACGCCTGCCCCCATCGTAGGCGGGATCTTCTCGGTCACCTTCTTGTTGCGGCACTCGAATTGGTTATGGCCATATAGACCACAACGAATACAGGCCTGCCTGGTGTACCTGTCTCTCCACACGTCCTCACTGAGACCCGCTTTCGCCCATGGAGGAGCATTGGGGTCAACTTGACTCCTTGACCGGGAACCTCCACGGCGTCTACCGGTCGTCTTACCTTTCTCTGCTACGACAACGACTACTCTACCCCCTGAAGTCTCTACGCTGCCAGCCTCTGAACCTACTCCCGCCTGGAACTCGTCGTCCAACTCAATGGTAGAACCATCATTGTCGACGAACATAATGCAGCCCTTCGCCTTTTAGTTGGGAGGCAATGACTTTTTCCTACCAGCCGTCGTGGGATTATGTCCATGCCCTATCTTTGCCTCAAGGTCTAGGGCCTTCTTGCTGAATGAGGGAAAGGTGTGCATATTGATGTTGGCCTCACCTTCCAACTAATTCCTGAGAGGCATGGGAAAGCATCTCAAGTAGGAGTTGAGTAAGACCCGGGGATCATAACGCACCCTAGGGACACAAACAAGCGCCCCACTGCGTTAGTGGCCTCTCTTACTGACTTAAGCTGCATCGTGTGCAATGTCAGGATCACATCAGTGGCCTTTTGGGCCTCCTGAGGATCGTGCCACCTATCTTCCACCATCTTGAGAAAGTCCTTCAGTTACTGGTGGGCTGCCCAAGTGCGAAAGTCATGACCGTATCCCTGCAACTGCACAAAACCACTCAACCATCTTGTTGCACTACCCTCTAGGTAGGATGCAACCACAAGCACTTCCTCCTGCAGCAAGGTAAGTTTGCACTTGACATAAACCGACACTGCCCTCAACCAAGTGTTGAGGTCTTCGCCCCTCTTATCCCCTGTACAGGGTTTCAGAGCGGCGATGGCCGTCTTCGGTACCCACTGACTTTGTCCCGGTCCCTGCATCACTCCGGGTTGTGGACCCTGCGATATAGGCTGATGCACTGACTGCAGGCGCTGTGTACCTGGCGGCTGTACAGGCTGCGAAACAGCACGCTGCACGCTTACGACAACCTGCGACGGAGATTGGGTGAACATTGTCTGTACAAAAACCTATAAACTAGGACCTATTGAGAACGCTCCCGTTAACGGCATACCCAAGGACACAGTCTGGACCGATGTTGGGGCTACATATGGGGATACCCCAGTCACCGGTGGGACAAAAGGAGGAGGATGTACAACGGGCCAGGCACCAGGCCCGGAAGGTGATGCTGCCGCCTGCATTCGCCCGACTAACACAGACAGACTTTGTTGGATGTCCTGTAAGATCTCCATCTGGTGATCTTGCATCTCTACTACACTTGACAAGACCGATCGTATGGTCCTCACATCATCCTCCATCTCTGTTGGGTCCATCTCCTCTAACTCACTAATGTCCGCTTGCCTCCGCTGCATCCTGGCTCTTCTTCTTATCATTCTTTTGTTTTCTGACTTAATCTCTCTTAAATCCTTTTGTAGTTGTGTCTCGCGATCAACAGCTCGTTGTATGGCGATCTCCTCGGGAGTCATCACTAACGGCTGGCTTGCCATAACGCCACTGGACTGACTCTGGATTTGTGCAACCGTTGACCCTATAGACCCTGAACTGCTAGCCTGGGAACTCTGCTGCACAATAGTTGCCATGGCCGCTGACACAACGGTTTCGCTTGCGAATGCTCTGCTGGTCTCTGCTACCAGTCGCCCTCCGGTCCTCCGCTGCTGCTGCTGCCTCTCCCTAAGCTGGCGGAACACATATATGTCGCCCTCCGGTCCTAAGGCCAAGTGGGCTATTGGGCGTCTAGTCGATCGCAAGATCCAGTCGTCCTCACAAGTCGTGTCCCTATCACTCATATGCTACAGAACTGCACACCGTCTACACTAGGACACGCAATAGATGCCTACCGCAGTGACATGTACAGACCGATATAAATAATCAGCGGCTATATTAGAGACTAAACATTCGAGTCCAGCAGGTCAGTCCAGATTCCTACAAATAAAACTATTTTTAGTTTGACTAGTTCTCGAACAGAATGCACAAATGAACAAGAAACAGTTCTAGTATGTTGTTTTTCAGATGTTAATGGCAGTACATCTAACTAATCAAAATAAAAAAAGCATCATTTGTTTGGTCTGTTTGCAGCATGGGATCTTACTCAAACTTATCACATGGAATCTACCCCTTCCCCAATTCCATTTGATTGTCACTTGACGTCACCATCCCTGAGCAATCCGGTTTGGCATGCGTGACTAAAGGTGTGCACACGGCCCAGCCCTGTGCCCCAAGTAGCTGCTGAGCTGGCCAGCCCTGCACTGTGTTTACCCTCGCGTGCAGCGAGCCTTACACCGATTGGCTGATCAAGAGGCAATTTAACGACCGCCTCCAAGTGTCATCAGGAATTATTTTACGTCGCAGCAGGACGGCGATCACATCCAATGGTTTCCCCAGCTGGTGTTTATTTATAGACGCCCGGTACTCGTCTCTCCCATAGGGCTGGCCTGCCCTTCAGTACCCCTCTATGAGCGCAGCAAGCAGACAAGGATAAAGCATCAAAGCATGAGTGCTCTACTCTCGGTGGGTTAGCATGGTGACCATGACCCAGTGCTCCGTCCAGGGCCCTTCAGAAAGCACCGCCCTCTCCTTCCAGATGCTCCACGTGAACAATGCCGACTCTCAAGGTTGAGCGCACACGACACCTCTCATGAGAGGACTCTCAAAAAGGAACTCACAACCTCACGGTAAGAAGTGATGAACAGGGTACACAAGGTTAAGAGCAACGTACCTCATTATAGCTGCCCCCAACAACAGATTCTCACCAGATGACCTGATGGCGATTGCGATGACCAGTCACTACATCGGCATAACCAGCATTATCTCGTCGTTCCACCTCAGCATCAGTCAATCACTAGATAGTTCTCATCACACTGCGAACACCCAATATACACACCGTAGCCTTCCTGGCGATTCCCCTCTCCTCCTGGGTCGACACACCGCCTACGGCTAGACTCACCAAGCAGACCACATGTGTGTACCGCATAGGCAGAAGACAAGCGCCAGATGAGCGCAACGTACCACAGCTCTGATACCAAATTGCAAGGAAGATGAGCAATAGCGAACTTCAGCAAACAAACAGCATCATACACATAAGACCAGATAGTCGTGACCTCGAACCAATAGCAGAATTGCATCACGAGTTTCACCAAATAAGAGCACACCAAAAGCTCATAATTGACAACGCTGGAATAGTCTCCTCATCATCATCAACGAAGAACCAATGTTGATATCCCATCTGGCGCTCGGCACCCAAACTACAGATGGCAGATCCTATCTAGCCTAGACTACAATGCCAAAGATGATGACAACAGCTCTCCCGAAGTACGAGCAGATAGCGGCCAATGCCGCACGCTTCCAGCACCAGGTATGTCTCTCGCATCACTCACAACC